AMYTWMCCCMAAAWTWAMYTTTTTTTAGCTGATAAACTGYCTAGAATGTGTCTAAAATGTTATATAGTACTGTTTCTGTGCTAATTTTGATGTTTTTGTGTGTATTTGTTCAAATCTGTAATATTTGGTCTAAAAACGTCTTTTTGCTGCGTATATGGGTGGAGCAGTGGTACTGCAGGCTAATTTGCATATTGGTTAACAGCTCTGCATGTTGACGTGGTTCTGCACAGTTTCGTCACAGCGGCTGTCCTCTCATATAAAAGCCTCTCTCTAAGACACGCCCCTGCAGCAGTCAGAGGGTGGAGCTGTTAGCAAGCTTAGCATGATCGTCTGTTGACCTTCAGCCTCGGGTGGGGAGAGGAGCTGGCTGCTCTCTCTCTCCCCCTCTGTCTCTGTGTCTCTCCACACACACACACACGCACGCACGCACGCACGCACACACACACGCACACGCACACACACACACACAGAGAGAAAGAGACCAGAGGAGGGAAAGAAAGGCAGCAACTTATACAGATTGTCTGTAAATTATGAGGATTTTACATCATTTTGCAGGTAAACGGACATATAGATTAATCTCACGGGATTTTTCAAGCCTTACGGATATTTTAAAAACCTCATTTTCAAATTTATCTAACATGTCAGAGCCTATAGGATGATTTAAAAAAACAATAAATAACATCAAACAGCCATCTTCCAACCTATTCTGCTGCTATAAGTTACTTTCCCYTCTCTCCTTTCCTCCTGCTTYGCAGCAGGAGCTTTCTTCTTCTTCGGAGTTATCTTTTCACAGGGGGGTAAGTTACACTTTAAAGTTATTTTATGTCTCAGAGCCTGAGGTAATGTTGAGCTACTCCCTTTTCCTCTTTGCCACTGTCTGCAGACAACACCGGCTTTACACCCAGACACACAACAGCTTGGTCCAAGAGGAGCCCCCCCATTGTATTGTGTGATTGTTAATATAATAAACGAAATGTTCAATCCCACCGTAATTTTTAATTTAAAAATATGGGGGGGATCGCATGCACTCAGTATATTTAATAATTTCTCCAAAAGCCACACACAAATATCTGCCTTTTAGTCCAACATTATGCACAGTTTTTTTTTTGCCTTTTTTTTTTTTTTACCTTTGTTTCTTTTGTAGCTATGTTTCTGATTAAACCTGTTTTCCACCTTGTAACTGAGAATAACGCTCAGGTGGTGAGGAGGTCCGCTTTGTTTACTGTGTAATCTCTGTCTTCAGTCCATCTCAAACCCCTTAACCACTTAAGAGTCCTCTGGAGCAGTCTTAACTTTTCTTGAGAGTAAGAGTGATTCTTAGACTTAAGAGTTTTGATAACTGGCACTTAAGGCTCCAGGATGCTGCTGCCAAACTGCCGAAATCGTGCCGAACTGTCGCATTTTTATGACGAAAGTTGCGTCACTTCTGTTCGCATTGTCGGCATTTCTTGTCGCAACCCGCGGGTCGAACTTTTCACCCCCCTCCACATGAGAACACATACGAACTGTATGGTGGGATTGGTCAGAAGTTCATGGGAGTGTTTTTGTTTGTGCTGAAAGCTCAGACGCTGCATTTGCTTCAACCAATCGCTTCAAAAAAAAGGAAGAAAAAAGTGATCGCTTCCAGAGCCGACTGCTGTACCAGGAAGCAGCGATTTTCAAACTTTTAGTCAAATGGTCAAAAACTCATAAATGGGGATAAAACAGACATTTTTCACAGTAGAATCTGACTGATAAAACTTTGGAGCTTAATCTGGGACCAGTTTGAGGATAAACAAYGTYGAGYGAGCYGCGGACATTTTTTTTYYSC